CGTCTCAAAAAAAAAAAAAAAAGAGGATCCCTGGCAGTGCTCTCATTATTGATTAATGTTTTCATTTCCCCAGAATAATTAGGCAAATCCTTAAGTATGTAATATTGATCATGGGGAACAAAGGGAACTGATGAAAAAGTGTCTAGAAAGTAGCTTTACCACTCAGGATAGACACATTTACAAGGGAAGAAATGACATGGTTACGGAGGGTTGACCATGAAGTAGGGATGCTCTAAGTGTCTAGTACAAATGCTTGTGACACTGAACAGCATTACCTTAGGGCCTCTGGAAAGAGTCCCAGGAATGAGAGAGGAGGAAACTCATTTACTGCTTTTCTACCATGTGTCAGGCACTGTGCTGGGCACTAACATCCCTCCATATCCCTTTATGAAGACACATAGGAATTTCCCTCATATCTCAGTGCCAGAAGTAATTGGGCTTCTCCTGATACTTGCGTTGTTTATAGAGTCTTTACTGTTTTGGGCATTATACTTATTATCCACATGCATTATCTTTTGGAATTCTCACTGTAGCAGCCCTTTGGTAGTAGGGATCATCCCGTGTTTTAAATGAGAAATTAAAATTCAGAGAGATTAAATGACTAACTTTTCTAAAGTCACAGTCCAACTCTTTCTTATTTATTTATGCTATTGGTCCCCTCTTTGTTCAGTTCTGAATGCCTGGCCTGTATCCTAAGCTTTTCTTTACTTAGCACCCTGTGTCTAGAGGGAGGTAGAAAGAGAAGAACCCAAGCCTAGCAAAAAGCAACAATAAATGTACATTCATGGAGATGCTGGCAGTTGACTTAAACTTGAACCACTTCTCAGAAGTAGCACTTACTGCTTTCTCACGTTTGTTTAGTGACTTTTCTTTTTATTTGGTAGAAATAGGGTCTTACTCTGTTGCCAGTCAGGCTGGAGTGCAGTGGGGGCATCATAGTTCACTGTATACTGGGGCTTAAGGATCCTCCTGCCTCAACCTCCCAAATAGCCACCTCACCTAGCTTTTTTTTTCCCCCATCGAGACAGGGTCTTGCCATCTTACCTACGCTGGTCTTGAACTCTTAGGCTCAAGCAGTCCTCCTACCCTGGCCTCCCAAAGTGCTGGGATTACAGGCGTGGGCCACTGTGCCCAGCCAAGCCAAAGATCTTTGGTGGAGCATTGTCAGAAGAATTTCACAAACTGCAAGTTGTTGCACAGATGTATTGATTTAATTAGTCTAGATAACACCATTTATTTATGCTTAAGCATCTCTCACATGCAAAAGTTGATAATTCAAAGTCACACAATAATTTGTGAGTTATCTTCAATACCAGGAGTTGTAGCTTCTGAATACCAACTTTGGTAAGTGTACGTGTGCGTCAGATGCCTAAGCATGAGTAAATGATACTATATAGACCAGTTAAGTGATGCAGCTTACTTCTGGAATTCTGTTGACATCCTTTTTCATCTAAAATTTTCTGGTAGTGGATTTTAAATAACATTTATTGTTCTAAACAATTGAATCTCATAGTATGGACAAGATCTTCATTGAAGACAAAACATCTGGGTTCTGCTTGTTAAGGCCTCTGAGTATCTGGGGGAATACTTAATATACCATTGCAACTTGATGAAATTGTCTTGGCTAACTATACAGCGAGTGTTCTGGCTAGTTAGTAGAGAAGAGTAGAGTTTATCCTCTTAGCAAAAAGATTTAACTTACTTTGTGATAGGTAAAAGACTGTATTATTAATTCTCTTGGGGAGGGAAACCAGTTTCTCTTTGCTATTCTGCCTCTCTTCCTCCCTCGTTCTGTCTTCTAATTTAAACTGTAAGAACACCAAGATATTCTATGTCTGCCAGATTTTGCAGTACTGTTTTCACACTTATATATAACTAATAGCATTGTTAAAATCTGGAGCTAATTAAAGCAGGTTTGTTGTTGTTTAAAGTGATAAGCTTTCAAAAACAGACTGGGATGTAGTTAATATTGTGGCCGGGCGCGGTGGCTCAAGCCTGTAATCCCAGCACTTTGGGAGGCCGAGACGGGCAGATCACGAGGTCAGGAAATTGAGACCATCCTGGCTAACACGGTGAAACCCCATCTCTACTAAAAAATACAAAAAAAAAACTAGCCGGGCGAGGTGGCGGGCGCCTGTAGTCCCAGCTACTCGGGAGGCTGAGGCAGGAGAATGGCGTAAACCCGGGAGGCGGAGCTTGCAGTGAGCTGAGATCCGGCCACTGCACCCCAGCCTGGGCGACAGAGCGAGACTCCCTCTCAAAAAAAAAAAAAATATATATATATATATATATATATATATATATATAGTAGGACTTTTGGTAGCATCTTTTCTTCCAGAGTTTGGGATGCTTTACCATTATTATTTTTTCTCATTATATTCCCTAGAAGATAGAAAGGAGAAAGATTAATTAACCCAGTTTTACATGTTAAAAAAAACCCAGAAGCTCATAGGAATTAAGTTTTTTGCCTAAGGTCATATTTACTAAGAAGGTACTCAGAATGCACAGAGAATTCCAGAGCTTGGCAGAGTGCAGCACACTACTCATTGGGAAATACGATAGGTAGATAATGATCTTCTCAGAAGTCTTGACTGCTGGTCAACTTATTTCTCTCTGGGACTACCCACTGTCTTATCACTAAAACAGAAACTTATTTGGAGGTGAGCACTACTCTGTAATCTCCAGGTGATGTTAGGAACCCTTCCTACTTAGCACAGCTGGCTTAGAATTCCAATTAAGTATATAACATGAGTTTCCTGCTAGGCACGATGGCTCAAGACTGTCATCCCAGCACTTTGGGAGGCCAAGGTGGAAGGATTGCTTGAGCCTAGAAGTTGAAGACCAGCCTGGGCAACATAGTGAGACCCCATCTCTCTTTTTATTTATTTATTTTTTTTATTTTGGAGATAGAGTCTTGCTCTATTGCCCAGGCTAGAGTGGTGCAATGGCACCATCTCAGCTCACTGCAGCCTCTGCCTCCCAGGTTCAAGTGATTCTCATGCCTCAGCCTCCAAAGTAGCTGGGATTACAGGCTCGTGCCACCATGCCTGGCTAATTTTTGTATTTTTAGTAGAGACAAGGTTTCACCACGTTGGCCAGGCGGGTCTCAAACTCCTAACCTCAAGTAAGCTGCCTGCCTCGGCCTCCCAAAATGCTGGGATTACAGGTGTGAGCCACCGTGCCCAGCCAAGACCTCATCTCTTAAAAAAATATAATAAATTAGCAGGGCATGGTGGTAGGTGCCTATAGTCCTAGCTGCCCAGGAGGCTGAGGTGGGAAATTCACCTGAGCCTAGGAGTTTGAGGCTGCAGTGAGCTATGATTGCACCACTGCACTCCAGCCTGGGCGACAGAACAAAATCCTGTTACTCCCCTCCCAACTCCTCCCCCCCAAAAAAGCAAAAACCATGAGTTTTTTAAGGCTGCCAAGTGGCCGTGTTAATCAGTGTTCAAAGAATGTTAAATGCCACTTTTAGGACCATTAGCTGTTACACTTCATGCTTCATAATGAGGTGTCTCACTTACTGTGTGTTTAATTAAATACATACACAAATTTAGGGATGAGGACATATCCATGGGCAAGGCCTGCTTACTCCCCGCTGAAGTAAATGCAAGAGGAGAAACACATCCTGCAGAGAAAAAGAAAGCCATATAAAATCGAAGTCCCACCCCTGATGCCTGGGGGCATCAGACTGAATTTAACATGGTAAATGGCGCAGCTGGTGTAGAAAAAAATAATCATCCATTTGGAGATGAAGAGCAACGCAGACTCGGTCACGGTTCTCTATAAAACTCATGTTTTTAGATTTGCAGGTAATACAAAGAAAAGATACCTATAAATCCAAGTTATAATTTTTTTATTGCTTTTTATTTGTCTCAAAATTACTTTTCAGTTAAGTCTGGTGATTTGACTTAAATATTTGAGACTTACTATCCCTCCCACCCCATGAGTTGTTTCTTTTCTCTCTCTTTCTCTTGTTTTTTGAACCCAGGCTGGAGTTCAGTGGCACAATCACGGCTCACGGTAGCCTTGACCTCCTTGGCTCAAGTGATCCTCCCACCTTAGCCTCCTGAGTAGCTGGGACCACAGGTGTGTGCCATCATGCCCAGCTAATTTTTTAGTGTTTTGGTAGAAACAAAGTCCCACTATATTACCTAGGCTGGTCTCAAACTCCTGGGCTCAAGCAAGCCTGCCACCTCAGCTTCCCAAAGTGCTGGGATTATACCTCTGAGCTACTGCACCCAGCTATAAGTTGTTTTTTTTAGTAGTGGGCATACAGTTTACCATTTGGGATTGGTCCAGATGCCCAGATGCCCAGACTGAGTTTGTTTATTTCATTTGATGGGGTTGGAGCATCTGCTTTTTTCAGTCCGTGGCCTGGCACTCTCAGAATTGTTTATTGGTTTCAACAATTAGGAATGACAAAAGAGCACCTATGCTTTGCCTTTCCAGTGCTTAAAATTTTTTTTTTTTGTTTTAAATTTTTGTGCGTTCATAGTAAGTGTATATATTTATTGGGTATATGGGATATTTTGATACAGGCATAAAATGTGTCATAATCACATCAGGGTAAATGGGGTATCTCTCACCTCAATCATTCCTCCTTTGTGTGACAAACAATCCAATTATACTCTTTTAGTTATTTTTAAATATACAATTAAGCTATTATTAACTATAGTCACTCTGTTTTGCTATCAAATACTTTTGAAGAAGTGCTTTTATACAGGTTCTCATCCGTGGACTTTAAGAAGATGGCAGCTTTTTCATATACCTAAAGTGCTCCAAATGCCCTTCTGTTCGAAGAGAACAAGCCGATATCCCTTGGCCTGTTACTATACTCCAGGTCCTCTAGATTTCCCTACATTTTTACTTCATTGTGATTTACTCAGTTGCTGCTAATATTTTCTTTCTCATCAAGAGTCAGAATATTCTCATTTGCCATGGGAAGAGATGTTGGTGTTCTGTTTTAGTTATCACTTTACCGTATCTTTTCTTTGCAGACCCCATATCATGTGAACCTCCTCCTGGCTGGCTATGATGAGCATGAAGGGCCAGCGCTCTATTACATGGACTACCTTGCAGCCTTGGCCAAGGCCCCTTTTGCAGCCCATGGCTATGGTGCCTTCCTGACTCTCAGTATCCTAGACCGATACTACACACCGAGTAAGTATTAACACTCTAGGGAGGGAGCAGTGGCAGAGCCCGGCCCTCAGCTGCTTCCCAGGTTTGTCCACCCTTGGAGTTGGGTGGCAGGGCTTGAATAGGATGGATCCTAAGAAGCACAAGCAGGTCCCCCTCTGGAAGCTGCACTCTTCTGTCAGTCTTCCAAAAGCTGATGTAAGTCCCATTTTTTGCCAGGCAAAATGAGATAGTATGTATCTCTAGAGCTGGGTTTTGTTTCGAAGGAGGTTTGGAATAGATGTCATAGTGAATAAAACATTTTTATTGGGTTCTAAAGTTCTTCAGTTCTAAGAGTTCAAGTTTTTTCACTTACTTTGCTTTGCCTAGATGCTTATTGGCATCTCAGTAAAGGATGAGTGGGTAAAGCAAGTAGCTGTATATTTGTTTTGAACTTGCGAGGATGAACAGGTCCCCAGCATGTCAGCTGAAGGTTTCTTTGCTTAAACATCAAAGCTTTCTAAGGCTACAAATCTGAACCTTCCCTTGGTTGTCACCCAATGGCTGCCCCCTCTTGAAAGAAAAAGCTGTCGCTCTGCTTGTCCATAAAGCGTCAGCTTGGCAAAACTTCCGATACAGGGATGCTGTTTAAAAATTTTATTTTGTAATTGACAAATAATAATTGTACATATATTCATAGAGTACATCATGGTGTTTAAATACATGTAAACAGATCAGGGTAGTTGGTATATCGATCATCTCAAACATTTATCATTTTGTGTTGGGAACATTTAGTATCCTCCTTGTAGCTATTTGAAACTATATATTGTGAGCCATAGTCATTTTACAGTGGTATAGAACAGTACAGTACAGCTTATTCCTCTGTCTAGCCATAATTTTGTATCTTTTTTTTTTTTTTTTTTTTTTTTTTTTGGTTTGAGACAGAGTCTCCCTCTGTCACCCAGGCTGGAGTGCAGTGGAGTGATCTCGGCTCACAGCAACCTCTGCCTCCCAGGTTCAAGTGATTCTCGTACCTCAGCCTCCCAAGTAGCTGGGATTACAGGCATGTGCCACCACGCCTGTCTAGTTTTTGTATTTTTTGTAGAGACAGGGTTTCACCATGTTGGTCTGGCTGGTCTAGAACTCCTGACTTCAAGTGATCCACCTGCCTTGCCCTCCCAAAGTGTTGGAATTACAAGAGTGAGCCACTCTGCCCTGCCAATTTTGTATCTTTTAACAAATGTCCCCCATCCCTTGCAGAGGATTTCTCAGCCTCTAGTATCCTCTATTCTACTTTTTACTTCTATGAGATCAGCTTTTTTAGCTTCCACATATGAGTGAGAACGTGCAGTGTTTTAACTTTGTTCCTGGCTTATTTCATTTAACAGAATATCCTCCAGTTCCATTCATATTGAATGACAGGATTTCCTTTTTTATGGATGAATAGTATTTCATGGTGTATATCTACCACATTTTCTGTATCCATTGATCTGTTCTCAGACACCTAGATTCCATATCTTGGCTATTGTGAATAGTGTTGCAGTAAACACTGGGGTGCAGTATTTCCCCAGTGATATAGTGATTTCATCCAATATAATGGTTTTCTTTCTTTTGGATAAATTCCCAGTTGTGGGATTGCCAGATCATATGGTAGTTCTATTTGTAGTTTTTTGAGGGACCAACATACTATTCTTCCTAGTGGCTATACTAGTTTGCATTCCCACCAACAGTGTGTAAAGAATTTCCTTTTCTCTACATTCTTGCCAGCATTTGTTATTTTTTGTCTTTTTGATAATAGCTATTCCTAACTGGAATGAGATGTTACCTCATTGTAGTTGTGATTTACATTTCTGTGATGATTAGTGATGTTGAGCATTTTTTTCCCATATATTTGTAGGCCATTTGTATGTCTTGTGAAATGTCTTTTGAGATCATATGCCCATTTTTTAATTGAATTTTTGTTCTCTACTGAGCTATTTCAGTTCCTTATATTTTCTGGATGTTAACTCCCTGTTGGATGAGTAGTTTGCATGTATTTTCTCCCATTCTGTAGTTGCCTTTTCGCTCAATTGTTTCCTTTGCTATGCAGAAGCATTTTTTAGTTTGATATAATCCCATTTGTTTATTTTTGCTTTTATTGCCTGTGTTCATGAGATTATTCATAAAATCTTTTTCCAGATCAATGTCCTGAGGCTTTTCCCCTGTGTTTTCTTCTAGTTTTGGGTCTTAAATTGAGGTCTTTGATCCATTTTGAGTTGAATTTTGTATAGGGTAAGAGGTGAGGGTCTGGTTTTATTCTTCTGTGTATGGATATCCAGTTTTTCTAGCACCATTTATTGAAGAAACTGTCCTTTCCCCAATGAGTGTTCTTGGTACCTTCATCAAAAGTCAAATGTAGATATGTGGCTTAATTTCTTAATTTCTCTATTCTGTTTAATTGGTCTGTGTGTCTATTTTTATGCCAGTAGCATGCTGTTTTGGTTACTACAACTTTGTGGTATATTTTGAAGTGTGGTAGTGATATCAACTACTAGATTTGTTCTTTTTGCTCAGGATTGCTTTAGCTATTCAGTCTTTTGTGGTTCCATACAAATCTTAGGATTTTTTTCCCTAATTCTGTGAGGCATGTCATTGGTGTTTTGATAGGGATTGCATTGAATATATAAATTTCTTTGGGTAGTGTTGTCATCTTAATAATATTAATTCTTCTGATCCATGAGCATGAGGTATATTTCCATTTCATTTGTATCCTCTTAAACTTACTTCATCAGTGTTTTATAGTTTTCGTTATAGAGGTCTTTTACCTCCTTGGTTAAATTTCTTCCTAGGTATTTTAGTTTCTTTGATTTTTGTATCTATTGTAAACGGGATTGCCTTCTTGATTTCTTTTTCAGCTAGTTTGTGTATAGAAACACTGGTTTTTGTATATTAATTTTGTATCCTGCAACTTTATGGAATTCATTTATCAGATGTAAGAGTTTTCTGGTAGGGTCTTTAGGTTTTTCTGTATAGAAGATCATGTCACCTGCAAATGGGGACATTTGACTTCCTGCTTTCCAATTTGGGTACTCTTTATTTCCTCCTCTTGCCTAAGTGCTCTGGTTAGGACTTCCCAGACACAGGGATGTTTTTGTGCTGAGTTCCATCTTCTGACCCCAATCCTAACCTCAACTTTAGCCTCTGTGGGCAATGGGTACTTTGGAATTCTTAGCTTTTACAGACTATAGATGAAGCACAGATAACCACTTCTCTCCTTACATTCCATTCTTCACTGTCAGTATCATAAGAATCTGGCATGTTCATTCTTCTTTGGTGCTGCCCTCTCGCTCAACCTTAGCCACACTAGAGCTCCAGGCCACATCCTGAAAAGAATTAGCCTGGCCTCCCAGTGACTTTCTTGATTTGGCATCTGTCAGTAATTCAGCTGATTTGCCCACCAAAATAACCACTAGCCACCCCTGAAGCCCGAGTGCATAACATGTCATCCCAGTTTGCCATGCCCACAGACAGTTCCTTTGGCTCCTGTTTTGGCAAAGTCTTAGCCCCATCCTATGAATTCTCTTCCCATTGTTAAACAGAGACCCAGCTGGGAAAACAAGGCTGAAATTCTGACCCTGTCCTCTCTTTCCCTGATTTGCAGCTGACTACGGCAGATGGAATTGATTTAAACCCTGGACTATGGGGGAGTGAAAAGGGTGGGTTATGATAAAGAGAGACAGGCTGCTGGACTTCTTCAGAGGCGGGCCCTGGCCAGGGGAGGCAGAATTCCTTCATGCTTACCCTCAGTGTAGCAAATCAATTTGCAGTGGCTTGTAGCTGCTGGAGCACTGGGTCTGGGGCACCCCCAGCTGCATGTGGAGTAAGTTGGTTGCAGACTAGAAGGCAAAGCATTTTTTGCCTTTGCCGTTTGTGTGGCACTCAGGCCTGAAGAAGTCAGCTTTGATTAAGATTTGAAACTTCATCAAAAGCTGCTGAGAGTTGGATTTAATGACAGCACCGGAATGCTTGGTCTGTGTTCTCTTCCAGCTATCTCACGTGAGAGGGCAGTGGAGCTTCTTAGGAAATGTCTGGAGGAGGTGAGTAGTTCCCATGGGATCCTGAAAGGAATGTTTGTGTCTGTTTGCCAGTGTTGTTCCTGTTCCTCGGTTATATTTTTTCTGATTTTTGCCAGAAGGTGTAATACATACCCACTAACCAGATGTGAAGTTGCTACCAGGGATAGAGTTTGGTGTGGGTAGCAAGCTCATTTTTCTCTCACAGATTACCTCCTCAATGTCAGCTTTATAATTTAATTCTTTCTGGTTTATCCAAACCAGTGGTTCTCAAATTGTAGTGTGTATAAGTGTCACCTGGGAAACTTGTTAAAACAGATTGCCATCTCTGCCCAACCCTCAATTCTGATTCCACTGTTCTGAGGTACAAACTGGGAAGCTCTGCTTTAACTGGCAATTGTAGGTGATTTTGCTGCAGGTGGTAGCAAAGTACAGGTTTGCATCAAGTACTGAGGCTGTACTTGAAGAACTTCTGCCCTAAACTTTTTTTAAATTTGAGACAGAGTTTCGCTCTTGTTGCCCAGGCTGGAGTGCAGTGGCACGATTTCAGCTTACTGCAACCTCCGCCTCTGGGTTCAAGGAATTCTCTTGCCTTAGCCTTCTGAGTAGCAGGGATTACAGGTGCCCACCACCATACCCGGCTAATTTTTTGTATTTTTAGTAGCGACAGAGTTTCACCACGTTGGCCACTCCTGACCTCAGGTGATCCGCCTGCCTCAGCCTCCCAAAACGCTGGAATTACAGGCGTGAGCCGCCACCACGCCCGGCCCTGCCCTAGACTTTATACCTGCTGTGTTCTTATGCCACCTGGAATTGCCGTACTGCCTGCTTCCTTAATAGTGCATGAGTCTTTGTAATCTGGAGAGAAAGCCTTCCCTAAGAATTCAGGAAGGCCATAGAAAGCAACTAGGAAGCTTTGGGCAGAAGGTGAGAGTAGACTTTGGTTTGTGAGGCCAAGATTACAGAACACACCCTTTCTAGTATTTCTCCTTAGAGTCTAAGGCTTTGGGTATGGATGGAGGATGGGGAGGTCAAAAGCCAGCCACATTAGTTTTTTCATTCTTTTACTGTTCCTGTGGCTTAAGGATGAACTTGAACTCATGGTTTAGTAAGAGAGTAGAAAATTAAGAGCAGAAGCATTGGGAGTAATGTCAGTTTGCCTCTTACACAAGCCTTTTGGTTTCAGTCCACAGTGCCTACCCCATTCCCCCCTCCCTTTTTTTTTTTTAAATGGGGTCTCGCTTTGTCACCAAGGCTGGAGTGGAGTGCAGTGGCACCATCATAGCTCGCTGCAGCCTGGACTTCTGGAACTCAAGCGATCCTCCCAAGTAGCTGAGACTACAGACAGGCACCACCACACCCACCTCATTATTTTGTTTTTAAGAGATGGGGTCTTGCTATGTTGCCTAGGCTGGTCTTGAACTCCTGGGCTCAAGATATTCTCCCACCTCAACCTCCCAATTACAGGCCTGAGCCACTGCTCCTGGCCTCTGCTTTGTTCTGAGGGCAATCACGTTTGGTTAGCTTATTATCTTGAGACATTTTAAGAGAGACGTCTGTGTTTACCAGACTGATGGGTAACAGACTATGGGGAACAGAACACTGGATTGTCTCATTCTTTCATCAGCTGACTGACCAGAGACAGGCTTTTAGCGGCATCTCCCATTTCAGCCTCCCTGCCTCTCAGTGATCCTCCAGCTGCCGTTTGGTACCCTCTACCACTAGAGTACTCGTGCCCTACTGCCAGCTGCCTCCAATAGAATTTCAGTTCTACAAAAGCAGGGAATTTTGTTTGCTTGTATCCCCAGTGTCTAGAACAGAGCCTGGCACATAGTTAGTAATTATTTGTTGACTGATTTCCTCCATGTCTCTCTGCAGCTCCAGAAACGCTTCATCCTGAATCTGCCAACCTTCAGTGTTCGAATCATTGACAAAAATGGCATCCATGACCTGGACAACATTTCCTTCCCCAAACAGGGCTCCTAACATCATGCTCTCCCTCCCATTTGCCAACTTTTTTTGATGGGCTCCTTTATTTTTTTCTACTCTTTTCAGGTGCACTCTTGATAAATGGTTAATTCAGAATAAAGATGACTATGGATATAATTGAGCCCTCTGGTCCGGGTCTCAGTTTACCTAATATTACATCAGAAAAGATATGGAGGGAAACTGATCTTTTTGCCAGGTCTGACTTTTCTTCCTGCTCCGCCCTCCGTTAACACCCAGCACCCTTTAGCAGCTGATGGCCGCACGTTCTACTCCACTCTTGGTTCCTTTCCAACTAGCTCTTTTATATATTTTACTTGCTAATATCTCCATTCTCTCTAAAGTAGTGGTTATGTTTGCCCTTAAACTTAAATTTTTTTAAATTAATTAATCTGAATGAATAATATATGCACTTAATAAAACATGCAAACAGTACAAAAACATGTAGTGAAAAATATTTCTTCCATAGCTGGGTGTGGTGGCTCATGCCTATAATCCCAGCACTTTGGGAGGCCGAGGCGGGCGGATCACGAGGTCAAGAGAACAAGACCATCCTGACCAACATGGTAAAACCCTGTCTCTACTAAAAATACAAAAATTAGCCAGGTGTGGTGGCGCACACCCCTAGTCCCAGCTACTGGGGAGGCTGAGGCAGGAGAATCGCTTGAACTCGGGAGGCAGAGGTTGTAGTAAGCCTAGATTGTGCCACTGTACTCCAGCCTGGCAACAGAACGAGACTCCGTCTCAAAAAAAAAAAAAAAAGAAAAATGTTTCTCCCATCCCTATAATCCAATCACCTGCTTCCGGCTTCCCTTCCAGGAGGAAACTTCAGCTACTAATTTCTTATGTTTTTTAAGAGGTACTCTTTTACTGTGTAATGTGTACATACATACAGACGCATGCCCCCTTTAAATTTTTTAGATTTATTTATTTATTTAGAGACAGGGTCTTACTCTAGCCCAGGCTGAAGTGCTGTGGCGTAATCTTGGCTCACTATAACCTCTGCCTCCTGGGGCCAAGTGATCCTCCCATCTCAGCCTCCTGAGTAGCTGGGATTACAGGCGTACACCACCAATGCCCAGCTAGTTTTTATGTTTTTCATGGAGACAGGGTCTCACCATGTCATTCAGGTTGGTCTTGAACTCCTGGGCTCAAGCAGTCTGCCTGCCTTGGCTTCCCAGTGCTGGGATTACAGGCGTGGCCACTGTGCCCGGCTAAAAAGTATTTTTAATGTTCTATATATTCCTTATTTCACTTAACACTATATTAGAAATTGTTTTATATCAATACACATACATATGCTTTTTCTTGTTGAGAGTTGCATAATTTTCCATTAGATTGATGTATCATGGGCAGTTAACCAGATACCCGTTTTTCTCTTAGCCTACCTTTAGGGGACAATGTAGATGTTTTGTGGTTAAAGTCACTAAAACAGTGGTTCTTAACCAGATGTGTGTTTCAGAATGTTCACCTCACATTTCCAGTTGCTACTGATGCTGCCGGTCTAGGAACCACATGCCAAAACCATTTGGTCTCAGACTAGGATAAACCCTACTTTATCCAATTCTGTGCTCCTCTTAATACCATATACAGATAGGTTTTTGGTTTGTATGTGATGAAATGTGTCATCTAAGATAATACCTACTGATCCTAACGTTCATGTTAAAGTATTGGGTTAACATTAGATTTGGGTGTCTTATACACTGTTTAATACACCAATGGTAAATGCCTTATACCATAAGAAGAAAGCTAATTGTTGAGTAAATGGGAGAAAAGAGATGATTCACATCACTACAGTTGATTCAACCTCCAACACCACCAGGAATATGCATAGGTTTGAGCTTTTAGCTAGATTCCTAGGTGTAAGGCATCTATTTTAAAAGTGCCACAGGTGGCCGGGCACGGTGTCTCAAGCCTGTAATCCCAGCACTTTGGGAGGCCGAGGCGGGCGGATCACGAGGTCAGGAGATCAAGACTATCCTGGCTAACATGGTGAAACCCCCGTCTCTACTAAAAAAAAATACAAAAAACTAGCCGGGCGAGGTGGCGGGTGCTTGTAGTCCCAGCTGCTCAGGAGGCTGAGGCAGGAGAATGGCGTGAACCCGGGAGGCGGAGCTTGCAGTGAGTGGAGATCATGCCACTGCACTCCAGCCTGGGCGATGGAGCGAGACTCCGTCTCAAAAAAAAAAAAAAAAAAATAGCGCCACAGGTGATTCTGATGCCCTACCCAGTGGAGTTCTGCTACTAAAGCCCAGGCTCTCCTGCTACATGATTTTCCCATCTGTACAATGATTGAAATAGCACCTATTCCATGTGGTAGATAGGAGAATTCCATGAGGTAATATAGGTAAACATTTAGTTCAGGGCCTGGCATGTGGTAAGTGCTCAGTAAGTGTATAATGATTGGTAAACTTGTTTTTCTGCATTCAGGCCTCACCAGGGATGACATACGGTTCTCTGCCTTTGAATATAAGTGTCCCCAGGGCAATCTCAGGCCAGCCTGCAAACCCATCCTGACTCTCAGTGTTGTTTTGCCAACCCGGATCTCTTTCCTGAGCTCCAGATCAACTCATTCCTAGATAGCTCACCCTCTAGATTTAGGGACATCGAACTCAGTATGTCTAAAACTGAGCCTTACCATCTGCCCCTCTCCAAACCTCCTCTATGACATTCCGTCTTAGAGAATTAGAGCCACCTGGTTTCCCAAGTGCCCAAGTCAGAAACCCAGGCATCATTTATTTTAATAAGTGTTTTATTTTGGAATAAATTTAGTTTTACAGAAAAATTGCAAAGATAATACAGGGTCCTTATACCCATTATTCAGTTTCTATAATGTTAACAACTTCTGTATACCATGGTATATTTGTCAAAACTGAGAAACCAACATTGTTTGGTGTATTAGTATTACTAAGTTCCAGGCTTTATTCAGATTTTACCAGTTTTTCCACTAATTTTCTTTTGTTCTAGGATATAATCCAAGATGCAACATTGCATTTAGCTGGGCATCATTTTTATGCCATTCTTTATCTGCTGTCTCTACATGGCCACCAAGTTCTGGCATTTCTACATGCTGAATCTTTTAATTTTATTACAATTTTTTATTGTTGTTTTTCAGAGACAGAGTCTTGCTCCATCACCCAGGCTGGAGTGCAGTAACACAATCATAGCTTACTGCAGCCTTGAACTCCTGGACTCAAGTGAACCTCTTAACCCCAGCCTCCCAACTAGCTGGGACTAGAGGTGTGCACCACCACACCCAGCTAATTTTGTAAAAATTTTTTGTAGAGACAGGGTCTCACTATGTTGCCTAGGCTGGTCTTGAACTCTTGGCCTCAAGTGATCCTCCCACCTTGGTCTGCCAAAGCACTGGGATTACAGGTGTGAGCCACTGCACCCAGCCTAAATCTTTATAAATCTCCATCCCCATTACTCTGGTTCACCCCGTATCGTTTCTTAGACTATTTAACAGCCTCCTAACTTTACTCGACTTTTAATCTCTTCCCTCTCCAGGTCTCTCTCCATACTTTAAAAAACTAGTTTCACCATCCATTCCCATTCCTCTCTACCCTTAAAACTTTCTGGTGGTTTTCCATGACTTAAGAGACTAAAGCCCAATTATTTGGTTTGACATGCTAGGCATTCCATAATCCTCTCCTAATGTAACTCCCCACTTTCCTTTCCCTCTTTTACACCTCATAAAGCCTGTGTTCCAACTAAATTTACATGGCCTTGGTCATTCACTCATGACTTCACACCTATATATACCTACTACAAGAAGGGTAAGCACTGCTTTGTGGAATTTTTCTTACAGAGGAGGGTGTGTGTGTGTAGTCATGACATAGTGTGGTCTGGTAACTTCTGTTTTCTTCCGCTGGATTTTAGTTTTTAAAATGCCAGCTGTGTAGGCCGGGCGCGGTGGCTCAAGCCTGTAATCCCAGCACTTTGGGAGGCCGAGACGGGCGGATCACGAGGTCAGGAGATCGAGACCATCCTGGCTAACACGGTGAAACCCCGTCTCTACTAAAAATACAAAAACTTAGCCGGGCGAGGTGGCAGGCACCTGTAGTCCCAGCTACTAGGGAGGCTGAGGCAGGAGAATGGCGTGAACCCGGGAGGCGGAGCTTGCAGTGAGCTGAGATCCGGCCACTGCACTCCAGCCTGGGTGACAGAGCGAGACTCCGTCTCAAAAAAAAAAAAAAAAAAAATGCCAGCTGTGTCCTAAATCAATTTGTCCTAAATCAATTTCCTGAAGTTTAAAAAACACTGGGAATATACCCATTCTTTAACACTTCTGGCCAAACACTGTTCAGAATGGAGTTCTGATTAGCTCCCATCTGCTTTCAGGTGATTAATACACAGAAAAACAAATTATTCCTTCCCAGGCTTGGGGTGGGAGGGGGGATAGGTTGGAGAAGAGAGCAGCTGTTTTGCCTCAGGGTAGGGAAGCTCAGCCCTACTAGAGAGGGGATGGGAAGGCAGGAACCTTTGAGAGATGGAAGAGGCCACTGAAATGGCCCAAGAGCTTGGTGTTGGTAGCTGAGCAGCCACGCTAGGTCTGCCCTGCCTGGAGCCCAGAGTCCTTTCATTTCTGTTCCTCTCGGCCTTTTGACAAAAGCAGCAGCAGTGCCCGAGCAAGAGAAAGACGCGCATTCTTGGGTTCTCTCTAAATGTCTACTGCTTGCTTACTCCAGTGTGTGAATTATGAGTTAGTGTGTTTGGGATAAATATCTACTGCTTGCTTACTCCAGTGTGTGAATTATGAGTTAGTGTGTTTGGGAGGAGAAACCTGCAGCTTGCCTTCACTTACCTTCCTTCATGGGATGGAATGTTTTCAAAGACTGAACTTTTCATATTTATTCTGGAATACTATGATCCTTTAAGAGAAAGTAGGAAAGTCTTTAAACTCCAAATTGGAATGCTTACCCAGTCTAAACACTCTCCATTTAATTCACAACTACTTGTTTGCCAAAGAAAGAAGACATGTAAACAATCTGTATCTTTATTTTTTATTTTTTAATTTAATTTTATTATTATTATTTTTTTTATTATTATTTATTTATTTTTTTTTTGAGACAGAATCTCGCTTTGTCACCCAGGCTGGAGTGCAATGGCACGATCTTGGCTCACTGTAGACTCTGCCTCCTGGGTTCAAGAAATTCTCCTGCCTCAGCCTCCCGAGTAGCTGGGATTACAGGCGTGCGACACCACACCCAGCTAATTTTTGTATTTTTGTAGAGACAGGGTTTCACCATGTTGGCCAGGATGGTCTTGGAACTCCTGACCTCAAATGATCTGTCTGCCTCAGCCTCCCAAAGTGCTGAGATCACAGGTGTGAGCCACTGCACTGAGACCCTGTGTAAACTTTAATCGTCATCTACTTTTCCTTAGGGCTAAAGCCAGTTAGAAGCTAAAACGTGGTTTATTTTGCCGTGGGGAAAAGAAAAACAACTTAATGGGAAGAATCAAATGCTGAGACCTCATTAGAAGCTGCTTAGGCCACTTAGTGTCCATACTGTACTGCTTCCTCTGCACTGTTAACTGTCCTGACCATATGCTGGCTTAGCAGAGCCTGGGGGCACAAGGGCCTGGGAGGACCTGCTTCCCCTTGCCTGTGAACCCTTCTGTAGATGGCCATGTGATGCAGTGGAAACGAAGGGAGGGTCGGATCACACACATGCGTGATCGCTTGCTTAGCGACTTTGGGCGAGTTGCTTTGATCTACAACTTGCTTGTTTCTAAAATAGGACTTATTGAGGACTACATGGACCTTTCCTTAGGGAAAGTTGTCCAGCCCATGAAAAGTTTTTGATAAACTAATTTCTTCTGGGTATTTATAACCTTTTATTGATGTGTTACTATATTCCAGGCATTATATAGAAGTGCTGTATATCTTATTTAATCCCCTCAACTTCCCATAGTCTAAGATGATTTTAGAGGCAGGATGTCTCTTGCCAGGCCCTAGGCTTCAGTTAAAGCAGAGCATACTTCAGCCTTCCCCCACATTCCTTTCTCTTCCTTTCTGCAGAAAGGAATGCATAACCCAGATAGGGATACCCGGGAAAGGCGCTGAGCCTCTTTGTTAAAATGAGGAAAAGCAAATATTAGGTGTTAAAGTCATGCCAGCCCCAAATGGAGACTTTCTTCTTGATGTATCCAGAAGGACTGATTGAAAGGGACTGGAGAAAGGCAGAACTTCCTCCCGCATGATTCAGAATTCTTCAGTGCCACATCTGGATACTGCCTTGAGGTATCAGCACCACCTAACATCCTGCTGGGGGGGTACATACCAGGGGACCCGAAGCTCAGGGTGGCACACCCAGTGAGTGGCAGGGCCAGGGTTAAAACGTGTCAAGGGTCTCCATGCATTTAGCATGAGGGACAGGCCCCCAGAGGAGGCCCCACTGTGTCCAGCTTTCACTGGACACGTACGGGTGCGTTGAGGCACTGCAGCTTCTTGGGAAAAGAAGTCACATCTTTGGACCCTTATCCTGAGAGATGATGCCTAGACCCTATGTTTCTAGCACAATCTTCACTCACAAAGCACCCCAACATCTCCCTGACAGCACACTTGAAAAGACAAGGGGACAGCAATCCAGGCAAACAATGTGAATGCAATGGCCCTGGGGCATAAAACAAAGTGGTAGTTTGAGGAACAGAGAGGAAACCAATGTGGCTGGAGCAAAGTGAGTGATGAAGAGAGTAGTTTAAGATGAGGCTGGAGAACGAGGCAAAGTCAGATCATTGCTGGACTTGACTTTGAAGGTGTACCAGAGAAAATAGACCGATTGGGAGACTTGTGTAGTAGTCCAGAGAACTAGGGTGTTGGCAGAGAAGAAAGATGATGGACTCAGAATCCATAGGTCTTTCTGAAGGATTGAGTATAGAGAAAGAACCAAATAGGACTCCCCAGTTTCTGGCTTGAGCAGCTGGGTAGAAGGTGGTACCATCTACTGTGATGGGATGTTCTGGAAGAGGTCACGATTTGAGTACTTGAGTCATGTGCTCCATTTTGGACATGAGTTTGAGATGCCTATTAGCCAAACTGGCAGACATGAGGCAGACAGTTGTACCTCTAAGTCTGGAGTTCAGGCAGCAGCCTGGGCTGAAGATAAACATTCAGGAATTGGCAGTATTTAGATATTGAAAGACATGGGATTGAATGAGACCAATCTAAGGAGACAGTATAGATAGAGAGGGACCTGAGGAAAGCCAACATTTAGAGGTCAAATAGAGAAGTAGTCAGCTAAGAAGACAGAATTGGGACCAGTGAGGTCACAGGAAACCAGAAGTTAGGAGCCACAGAGGAAACAGAGTTGCAGAAAAGAGCAAGTGGTCAGCCGTATCCACTGACTGCTGCTGTTAAATCCAGAAAAAAAGGCCTTGAGATTTGACGTTGTGATGACCATGCTGAGTGGACGTCAGCAGACTGGTCGGGAAAACAGATTGAAGAGGAAATTAGAGGTGAAGAAATGGAGGTAGAGGTGTAGCAATCTTTCAAGAACTTTAACTGCAAAGGAAATAGAGAAATGGAGAAAGGATTTATGTTTTGTAAGGTAAGAGATCCTAGAACATTTGTACTCTGGGGGGTGATCCAGTAATGATCCCGTAGAGAGGGAGACACTGACGATACAGGACACAAAAGATGATTGAAGAGTGAAATCCTCAAAACGAGAGTTGGATGAGCTTTGGCCTGACAGACACACACAGTCACCAGCATTCCCACTGACACATACACATCAGCACCAACGGGCATGGTAACAAATCTGTACCCCCAATAGCCAAACCGACAGATGCACCCACCAGCCCACCAAGTCCCAGGAATACACATACAGTATTCACTTGACACACACACACATACAGACACAGCAACTAACAGCCACACTGACATGTCAGACCAACATCTGTACCTCCTCTCACACAGAGGGGCCCCCAGTCCCCTCCATCCCCTTAGGGGCCCCTTCCCACCCTACCCTCTGCCCAATTCCCAGGCCCTTCCTCTCCCCAGTGACATTGCCCTCTTTGGAGGCAAATCCAGGCCTGGGCTAAAGAAGGACAGGGAGGGCTTCATATCCAATGAAAGGTTTTATTAAGAGAATGAGAGATGGGGAGATGGGGAGGTACATCAACTGCAGGGGCAAAAGAACCACAAATACAAGATCCCAGCGACAACCACAGGGCACCTGACACACCTTTCTTCCCTCCCAACCCACCCACAGCCCTTTGTGAGCAAAAACACCCTCTCCCTTCTGGTCCAGCTGGCCATATCAGTGCATGGCCAGAAAACAGTGAAATGAATCCCCAACTCACTGGGATAAGTAAGTTGCACTGGACATTTTTAAATTTCAAATTTAATTACAACATACATAAATAAATAGGACAGACAGCAACAGGACTGTGATGAGCAGCCTGGATTCAAGTTCTGCAATTTGTGCTTTATCTTCTTTGTTCCTTGAGGACCCCTCCTGCCCACTTCTTTCCAAGAGTAGGAGGGGTACAAAGAGTCCACTGGGGCCTCCTCCTTCCAGCACCCCTTTTCTGGGGGTAGGAGACTCTGGAATGAGGGGCACCAACTCCTCAGTAGCACCTCTGATTTATCAATTTCCCTTCTGCCACCAGTGAAAAACACAAAGGCTTTGGCCTCTAGAAGCACCCACGGCCACCCAGGCACCCTAATGGAAAGGGCTCTGCCCCATGAGCCAGACCTTTTCATGTCAATTTTCTGTTCAAACCCTTCTCAACCATCAAAGGTCAGAAAATTGCACACATGAGACAAATACCTGGGCCCTTAGCAACACACCACCACAGAGAGGCCACCCTCCCTTACTCCAAGCCAGATCCCCGACTCTGGGATCTCTGGATGAATGTTCTCTTTCTGGCCTGACTCTAATCCCACCTTTCAGTCCTTTCAGGCCCACCCCCAGGAGCTAAGTGCCTGTTTCAGGGCCTGGGAGCCCCTTAGGGATGGGGTGGGAGAAGCAGTTATTTCCGATGCTTGGCATCTTTCTCCGAAGCCTTGGTTTCACCGTGCCCACTGCCCACACTGCTTAGAAACATCTTGTCCAGCCCCTTGAGTGACTCCAACAAGTAGTTCTGGAAGGCAGTGAGGGCAGCACAGATGGCAGGCCCACCGAAGCCATGGGTGATGAGGCTAAAGTGTGTCAAGCAGCTCTGCACTCCGGGCTCCAGGATGAGTGCCGGGCGGCTGTTGCCCAGCGGTGAGCGGTCCTGAGCCATCAAGTCTGCAAACTCCTTGCAGATCTGCCTGGTAGGAGAAGGAGGGCCAGAGGTTGGAGGACAAAAGTCTGAGCCCAGAGAAGGACCTACTACATGCTAGGCATTTTACAGACATTAGCCACACTATTGCTGACTCTCCCAACAGTCTGCAAAATGATGAACATACTGTTTTTCACAGAAAAGGTAACTAAGGTTCAGAGAAGTCATGTGACTAGCCCAGTATCACACAGCTAATAAACAACACACGTCGATTACCCTATAATCTTTCTTTTTTGGATGTCCGGCCCATATTCAAAGTGCAGCTCAGCTACTTACTACCTTATATAGGAAACTTTCCTTGATTCCCTCTCCCACCCCAAACACCCAATGCTTCACAGAACTTTGTCTTTGAAGCTCTTAGGAAACAATCCAGAATCTGCCGGAAATAATAACTAGCAGTGAATATAATTGAAGCCTGGATGCTGTGCCAAGCACACTGTCTGCATCATCTTACTTAATCTTCACAAACAAGTCTATACTATTATTATCCCCATCATATGGACAAGAAAACTGGTTTCAGACAGGTTGGATGACCTGTCAAGGTGACCAAGCTGGGATCTGAACCTAGCTCTAGTTTGCAGCCATTCATTATTCATTCCTTTGTGCATCCTGTGTATGGCTCAGGCAAGAGGATCACTCATCATTCATCTTCGTGTCACCATGAAAGCCAGCCAGTATCTTACACAGGACTGAGGCCCACGAAGTGCTTGATGAGTGAGCTGATTAGTGAGCACGTGAGCCCCACCCTAGGTATGTTTCTCCAGTGACAGTATGAGCAGCCTCAGAGATCTCTCCATTTGGCAGTCCCAGGAGTCTGTGCTTCCTCTTCTGCCTTGGGGACTTGAGGAAAGCCTCAAAGGCAGGACGGTGGAGTTGTCAGTTTGAAGGACTGCGTTAGGTGGGAGGACTGGATGTTCCAAGCTGGAAACAGGCAAACCCAAGGATGTGAGGACAGGGTTGCCAGGAGTGGGTGGAGTTTGTGTGGGCCAGACTGTGGGGCCCTCAAAAGAGTCTGAACTTTAGCCTACCAATTGGTAGTTCTCAGATTTCTCTCTCTCTTTTCCTTTTTTTAAATTTTTTTGAGATAAGGTCTTGCTCTGTCACCCAGGCTGGAGTGCAGTGGCACGATCCCAGCTCACTGCAGTCTCAACCTCAGCCTCCCGAGTAGCTGGGACTACAGGTGCGCACAATCACTCCTGGCTAATATTTTTAGTGCAGATGGGGTTTTGCCAAGTTGCCCAGGCTGGCCTTGAACTCCTGGGCTCAAGCAATCTGATCACCTCAGCTTCCCAAAGTGCTGGGATTACAGGCATAAGTCACTGCACCCAGCCTCTCTCTCTTTCTTTCTTTCTCTATCCCCCTCCTCTCTCTGTCTTTTCTTGCAGTGGGACTGCCAAAGTGTGAATGCTTACGTTCCCCAGAATTCATATGTTGAAATACTACCCCCCTAGGTGATAGTATTAGGAGGTGAGGCCTTTAGGAGGTGATTAGGTCATGGAGGTGGAGCCATCATGAATGGGATTAATGCCCTTATTATAAAAGAAGTCAGAGAGAAACCCATTCTCCCTTCTACAATGTGAGGCCACACAGCAAGGTGCTGTCTATGAGCCAGAAAGCAGGCCCTCACCCAACACGGAATCTGCCTTGACCTTGAATTTCCCAGCCTCCAGGACTACGAAAAATAAATTTCTCTTGCTGGCCGGACGCGGTGGCTCACACCTGTAATCCAAGCACTCAGGGAGCCTGAGGCGGTGGATCACCTGAGGTCAGGAGTTCAAGACCAGTCTGGCCAACATGGTGAAACCTCTACTAAAAATACAAAAATTAACCAGATGTGGCGGTAGGCACCTGTGATCCCAGCTACTCAGGAGGCTCAGGCAGGAGAATTGCTTGAACCCAGGAGCCGGAAGTTGCAGTGGGCTGAGATTGCACCACTGCGCTCCAGCCTGGGCAACAGAACAAGATTCTGTCTCAGTAAATAAATAAATAAATAAAAATTTCTGTTGTTTATAAGCACCCAGTTTATGGTATTTTGTTATAGCAGTCCAAATAGACTAAGATAAGAACTCTTTTGGAAGAACTAAATCTTTTGCCTTTTTTTTTTTTGAGACTGTCTCACTATGTCATGCAGGCTAGAGTGCATTGATGCAATCATGGCTTACTGCAGTCTCGACGTCCCAGGCTCAGGTGATCCTCTCATCTCAGCCTCCCAAGTAGCTGGGACTACAGGAGTGCACCACCACACCTAGCCAATTGTTGTATTTTTAGTAGAGACCAGGTTTCACCATGTTGCCCAGGCTAGTCTCCAATTCCTGGGCTCAAGCAATCTGCCAGCCTCAGCCTCTCAAAGTGCTGGGATTACAGATGTGAGCCACCTTGCCTGGCCTGAAAAACTAAATCTTACCGCCAGGCACGGTGGTTCACGCCTGTAATTCCAGAACTTTGGGAGGCCAAGGCGGGTGGATCACCTGAGGCCAGGAGTTCCAGACCAGCCTGGCCAACATGGTGAAACCCCGTCTCTACTTAAAATACAAAAAATTAGCTGGTCCTGGTGGCAGGGGCCTATGATCCCAGCTACTGAGGAGGCTAAGGCAGGAGAATTGCTTGAACCCGGGAGGCGGAGGTTGCAGTGAGCTGAGATCGCACCATTGCACTCCAGTCTGGGAAACAAGAGTGAAACTCCATCTCAAAAAACAAAAACAGGCCAGGTGCGGTGGCTCGAGCCTGTAATCCCAGCACTTTCGGAGGCCAAGACGGGCGGATCACGAGGTCAGGAGATCGAGACCATCCTGGCTAACACGGTGAAACCCCGTCTCTACTAAAAAATACAAAAAACTAGCCGGGTGAGGTGGCGGGTGCCTGTAGTCCCAGCTACTCGGGAGGCTGAGGCAGGAGAATGGCCTAAACCCGGGAGGCGGAGCTTGCAGTGAGCCAAGATCCGGCCACTGCACTCCAGCCTGGGTGACAGAGCGAGACTCCGTCTCAAAACAAAAACAAAAACAAAAACAAAACTAAATCTTAATGGAATGCTAGTTTGTTAAACAGGCCCTGAGGTGCCCTCGCAGACCTAGTTTGAAAATCAATGCAGCGGGAACCGTTGAAGATGCTTGTGCGGGGGAGCAGATACACGTGCAGGGAGGTTGGGACCAGGGAGACGCTAGGGTGAAGGTCTGGGAGTGAGATGAAGACCTGAGTAGAGGAGGCAGCATGTGAACGGTGGTGAGGGAGGCACAAAGGGACTTGCAGAGCAGTCAGGCGTGACTTGGTGGCCTGATGGACATCACTGGAGCAGAGGGTTGATGGGCAAGGCTAGAAGAGGGAGCCTCACACCTGCGATGGGGACTGGGGCTGGTGGTGTCCTGGGAGTGTATGTGGGTGTAGGACCCATGTGTGAGCCTGTGTGAGCCAGTATGTGACACCACTGTTCTTGATGCATGGAACCCAGATATGTTCACATGTAGTGTCCATGTGTGCTCCAGGAGCTTGTGAGGAGTGTTCATGTATGCCTGAGTATGATAACCATGATGCACAAATATTACCCATATGTGGCGCCCAAGTGTGCCCATGTGGCATGCACACATGTGCCCAGGATAGCCCAAGCAGGGAGCCTAGGTGCCCATGTGTGGTGCCACATGGGCCGCACATGCGTGTGTGTGCTCAGTGCTCATGTAAACAGCGGCGCGCAGGTACATGTGTGTGCTCACTGCTCACGTACACAGCGGCACGCAGGTGCGTGTGTGTGCTCACTGCTCACGTACACAGCGGCACGCAGGTGCGTGTGTGTGCTCACCGCTCGTGTACACAGCGGCGCGCAGGTGCGTGTGTGTGCTCACCGCTCGTGTACACAGCGGCGCGCAGGTGCGTGTGTGTGCTCAGCGCTCGTGTGCACAGTGGCGCGCAGGTGCGTGTGTGTGCTCACCGCTCGTGTGCACAGCGGCGCGCAGGTGCGTGTGTGTGCTCAGCGCTCGTGTGCACAGCGGCGCGCAGGTGCGTGTGTGTGCTCAGCGCTCGTGTGCACAGCGGCGCGCAGGTGCGTGTGTGTGCTCAGCGCTCGTGTGCACAGCGGCGCGCAGGTGCGTGTGTGTGCTCAGCGCTCGTGTGCACAGCGGCGCGCAGGTGCGTGTGTGTGCTCAGCGCTCGTGTGCACAGCGGCGCGCAGGTGCGTGTGTGTGCTCAGCGCTCGTGTGCACAGCGGCGCGCAGGTGCGTGTGTGTGCTCACTGCTCGTGTACACAGCGGCGCGCAGGTGCGTGTGTGTGCTCACTGCTCGTGTGCACAGCGGCGCGCAGGTGCGTGTGTGTGCTCACTGCTCGTGTGCACAGCGGCGCGCAGGTGCGTGTGTGTGCTCACTGCTCGTGTGCACAGCGGCGCGCAGGTGCGTGTGTGTGCTCACTGCTCGTGTGCACAGCGGCGCGCAGGTGCGTGTGTGTGCTCACTGCTCGTGTGCACAGCGGCGCGCAGGTGCGTGTGTGTGCTCACTGCTCGTGTGCACAGTGGCGTGCAGGTACGTGTGTGTGCTCAGTGCTCGTGTGCACAGTGGCACGCATGTATGTGTGTGCTCACTGCTGATGTACACAGTGGCATGCACATACTTGTGTGTGCCCACTGCCCGTGTACACAGTGGTGTCCATTGTGCCCATACATGTCTGTCTGTGCATGGCAGCCACGTGTGCCTGTGCGTGGTGCCCTCACTCACTTGGCGGCCAGCAGCATGCTCTTGCGGCTGTGCAGCTCCCCCGGGTCAGCATGCTGTCGGCACAGGTACTCGGCGGCTGCCTTAGCTGGGAACTCCGTCTCACAGACGTAACCGAAGTCTCGGGCCAGGTGCACGGCCTCTCCTGGGGGGAGGGGAGCTGTCACTACTGCCAGGTGTACCTCTGCGCCTGGAACACAGCTTTGAACCTCTGACCCCTTGGCCAGGAGGATCTTGCTCCATCCTGCCTCTGTAGATGCCCCCTCTGACTTTCCTTCCCAGCCCGGCTCCAGCCCCGATTCCATTGCCCTCCCTTGGGGCCATTAGGGTTGGGCTCTGAGCTCAGAGATGGGAGCTGGGCCCACCATGTATTCCAGAGGCACCAACCTCCAGGGGAGGGGGCTGTGACCCCCTTCATCACTTTACCACATCCAAACACTGGCTACTCCCCACTGACACACTCACACCCACACATCCACACCCACGCACACATACATGCACACTGCAAGGTCTCCATTGCACATGCATGCACACATGTACAAAGACTACACAAAGAAATCACAAACAAGCCTTCCACATGACAGAGAGCATGCACACAGATACTGCAACACTTACACGGATACACTCACCACTCAACACACCCTCCTGCATTAGAGACAGTCACACCAGACAACTCACTTGCCCTCACAGCCACTCCCATGCCCACCTTCAGGCCTCACTCACCTTCCACTAGCGAAGTCAGCAGCGTCACGTTGGCAGCCTTGCGACGGCCAGCTGGCAGGTTGAGTCCAATCTTCTCTAACCGTTCCCGCAAACACCGGCCCCCATTTTTGGACTTGGCCCTTGACATGCACAGAGAGAGACAGACGTACAACTGTGAAGACAAGAGAAACGCGTGGAGGCCAAGTGACCGCCAAAGGGCCTTGTTGCCTCCACCAGCCCCTGTTGAGGTTTGGGTCTGGTCCTGGGGCTGCTCTGGGGTCTCTTTCAGCAAGGGCGCAACCTCTTCCTAATCTCCCATGGTTTTGCAGCCAAGACAGAGGTGGGGGGCCAGCACCCAGCTCCAGGAGCCCTTCAGTTCACTCTAGTCCTCTCAACAGCAGGGGCAGCCAGGGTGGGGCATCCTGGGATCTTTAGCACACCAGATGGCCACACACAGCTACCCGGGGATACACAGACCTATATGTAGAGACGCGCAGTGACATACAGAAAGAGAGACACATGGGGAGACACAGGTACACACACAGCCACCTGGGGACTCACACACACACACACACGTGAAAGAAGAGAGACACGTAGAACCAGTAGAGACAGACATATGCAGAGACACAGACTCAGACACCTAGGGACACAGAGACACAGGATCACACCAAGTCAGGGTCCCAGGAACACAGGTACAGACACTCAGGGACTCACAGAGATCCGCCAAGATGCTACGAGTAAGGAGATATCCCCTATGACTGCACAAATGCCACTCCCACACACCAGATGGCCAAACATCCATGTGACTAGCTCCAGATGCACAGGCAATCATACACACACACACACACACACACAGCAGGACACACTCTAGGCCACACATCCCACTAGAAGAAACACAGGATACTCACACTCATGGAAACATGCTCCTGGCCATCCGCTACTATAGACACATGCACACACACACACACGTCCACACCATCCTCAGACTCATCCAAGCTCACGGCCCTGAAGCAGAAATACCCTTCCCAGGCACAAGGACATGCACAGAGAGAAAGAGACACAGGTCTAGGAAGACGAACCATGGACTACCATGCCCCACACCCCAAAACACACAGGGCCTATGCTGCTGTGCAGAATGGGCCTTGGGTCCTGGGGTTCACTTCCTGGAAGGGGGTTGAGGATGGCCCTCTCTCTTCCCCAGACCCAGTCTCGTCCTGACCAATGTGGATGAGTTCTCCATCCCTTCTCTGTGCCCAGGCTTCTTTCTCTGCCCACTTCCCCACCCCAGACCCACAGACACGTGGCGGCCACCAAGGACCTGGGCCGGCCCCCATAGCATGCACAATCCAGAGTCCCCAGGGCCTCCCCTCCCAGGGAGACTGAGGCAGGGGGGCTAGGTGAGACTGGCCTCCTCTCTGATGCCCTGAGAAGGCCTGAAGAGGCCAGGGATCCAGCCAGGTGGGGAATCGAGGGCTGGCCTTCCTACCTGCGGAGGACACCCCCCAGGAGGGAGGCGTTGAGGCACTCAGGAGGTGAGAGTCGCCGCTGCACCTCCCCCACCGTCACTTTGTACTTGGACGTTGAGCTGAGCAGTGAAAGCCGGCCGGGCACAGAGCAGAAGACCTCACCAGGATTCGTGATGCCGCCCACCAGGCTGTCTTTGGCCAAGGAGAGGGCTGAGAGGCTGCTAGCTTTGGAGGGGATGGGCACTGTGGAGAAGAGCAGGGAGAGGGAAACACTGAGCCAGCGACCATCGCACACAGCCCCACTCGAGGGAGGGTCTGGTATCCTTGCTTTATGAAGGGAGAAACGGAGGCACGGTGAGATGAAAGTGACTCGTCCAAGTTCCCTCAACTGATGGATGTGAACTCGGAGACTGAGCTCCGAGCTGTCTGGTTCTTAAATCTGTGTCCCCCTCACTGAACCAAGCTGGTCCTATCTTAAACTCAAACAGCTCCAGCAGAATCTTGGTGTTTTAGCAGATGCCATCAGAGAGGGACTTGGATGTAAGGATATGAGTGTGAGCTGGAGGCAGGACCCCTGGGGCCCTGCAGCAGGGCCAAGCCAGGGCTGGGCAATCACAGGGAGTCCCCAGATTCCCTCTTCCCACCCGTGATTCCCACGTCTTTCCTCCCCACCCTCCCACCCCACCCCTGCATCAATGAGGGGCCTGGAGACTGTGGGCTCCACATCCCTGGGCCGGGGAGGTTATTGCGCTATTAATGCCTTCAGCCCTGGCCCTCTCTTCCTGCCAAGTCACTCTGCGAATGCTAAAGGAGACCAGGAGATAGGCCCTATACCCCCTCCCCAAACATTCCCTAATTATCTGCTAATTGTCTGAAGACCAGAGAAGGGAATTTGAGAAGTTAATTTTTTTCTTTTTTTTTCTTTTTTTTTGAGATGGAGTCTAGCTGTCACCAGGCTGGAGTGCAGTGGTGTAATCTCAGCTCGCTGCTGCAACCTCCGCCTCCCAGGTTCAAGCAATTCTTCTGCCTCAGCCTCCTGAGTAGCTGGGTCTATAGGTGCTCATCACCATGCCTGGCTAATTTCTGTATTTTTAGTAGTGATGGGGTTTCACCATATTGGCCAGGCTGGTCTCAAACTCCTGACCTCGTGATCCACCTACCTTGGCCTCCCAAAGTGCTGGGATTACAGGCATGAGCCACCACACCTGGCCAGAAGTTGATTTTCTAAAATTCACTTAGACATTATTGGCTATAAGAGAAAGGAAGTTCTTCCTGCAGTCTAACCTTCATCCTCTTGCTTAGCCTCGGGGGAAGGGAGAATATTGAAGCACTTGCTTCTTCAGCGGAATCTTTTGGCCCTCTCTTCCTTTAAGGAGGTGAGAGCCTTGGTAGACAAGGCCTCATGTGTGCATCAGGCTCGAGTGTGGAATCTGGGACTAACAGCTACTGAGCACTCACTGCTGTGAGGTCCCATAGATAAACCCACTCAGTCCTTGGAACAACCCACAAGGGGCTACCCTTATCACTATTCCCATTTTACAGATGAGGAGACTGATGTTCAGAGAGGTGAAGTAATATGCCTGAGATCACACAGCTGGTAGACGGAGAACCAGTAGCAAACCCAAGACTGCAGTCTCAAAGGCGGTGCTCTTAGCCTTCCAGCCTCTTGGCAATATTGGCTGAGCACTTGCATGCCAAGAATGGTGCCAGGCCTGAGGAATACAAAAGTAGGAAAGGCTAGCTTGATCCCAAGCCTGGCAGAACGTCTCGTCTCTCCCTCTCTGGATAAACCTCCCCACCCCAACCCAGCAGCCCAGCCAGAAACCTCTGTAATACCCTCTGCAACCCTCTCCCCCACCACATCATCCCATCCATCACCACATCCCGTCCATCACTACATCCCATACATCACTAGATCCTACAGCTTTCTTTTTTTTTTCTCCCACCCCTGCCCATCCTGTGACTTTCATTTCTTTATATGCCTTGGATGTGGCCACTCCTCTGCATGCTCACAGACACAGGTTCACTTCCCACGTGAATTTCTCCACAGACCTTGCTCTGGTCTCCCTGCTCCAGTCCAGAGGGATCTTTCCGTCTGGATGCATCATTCTGCAGCTGAAAACTCATCCTAAAACTCATTAGAGCCTGGTCAGTTCCCTGAGACTCAAATCCCAGCTCCAGAGCTGGACAAAATGTCACCTGTCAATGAGGGCCACGTGCTGAAAGTTCAAAGACGTTAAAGTGGGACAGCAAGTAAGGAGCAGAAATGAACCCTGAACTCTCAGCACTGACTCCAAAGTTTACAGCTTTAACCATCGTGTTACAATGGCCTCCTTCACCCTGCCTTGTGTTCTGGCTCTGCCTGCCCCTCTTGCTGAGTCCCCATTTGTCTGTTGGGCTCTAGACCCAAGCGACCAAGGGAAATATAATGTGAGCCACATGTATACATTTACATTTCCTAGTGTGCACCATTTTTTTTTTTTTTTTGAGACAGGGTCTTGCTCTGTTGCCCAGGCTGGAGTACAGTGGTACAATCACAGTTCACTGCAACCACCACCTCCCAGACTCAAGCGATCCTCCCACCTTAACCTTCCAAGTTGCTGGGACTACAGGTGCGTGCCACCATGCCTGGGTAATTTTTGTGGGTTTCATAGAGATGGGGTTTCACCATGTCGCCCAGATTGGTCTTGAACTCCTAGACTCAAGCTATCCGCCCGCCTGCCTTGGCCTCCCAAAGTGCTGGAATTAAAGGGGTGAGCCACCAGGACTGGCCCACATTTTTAAACAGTAAAAAGAAACATGTGAGGTTAATTTTAATCAATATAATAGTAAATAATATGTAACATTTTAGTATATTTTGTTTATCCCAGTACATAAAAAATAGAATCATTTCAACATGTAATCAATATTTTTAAAATTATTAGTGAGATATTTGACATTGCTTGAAATTAGTTTTCAAAATTCAATGGACATTTTATGCTTAAGCATATCTAAATTCAGACTAGTCACATTTTGGGTGCTCAAGAGCTACACGTAGCTAGTGGCCACCTTGGTGGACAGCACAGCTCCAGGCTTCAAGGGAGGAGGGGCTCAACAGGTAACATAGTAAGTGGGCTGTGGGGGAGGTTGGCAGGCTGGAGGGGCACCTTATGCGAAGTCCTGCCAAGTAGGACACAGAGCTCCTGGTTTGTTTGTGGTTTTGTTTTGTTTTGCTGGTTTTTGAAACTAGGATTCTGGATTTTTATGTGAACTCTCTGGATTTTTAAGCATTGGCAATGATTCAAAGATTTAAAAACCCAGCACAGGCCAAATGGAACGAGTGTAAAGTGCCTCCTGGGATGTGGTGACTCCCAGGCTGTGAGCTCTTTGAGCCCCACAGTGCTCCTTTGGTTCTCAGGGGTCCTTCTCCACTCTACTGAGTTTAGGCATCATCCCCTGTGCAGAGCTTCCCTCTCCTGCCCCCCAGCTCCCTCTCACCCCCATCCCTGGCCTTACCGCACTGAATCTTCCTGGTCTGTTTCCACGGCTGTCTTCCCTACCAAGAATGAGTGTGTCGAGGGCAGGGTCTTGGCACAGGTGGCCATGAGTGAATGTGAAATAAACTAATGATGCAAGGGCCCTGGGAACCCAAACTGAACTATACTGCATATATTAAAAAATTATACCTCGAGCTTGACTTTAAACAAATAAAACTACAAATTGGGCCAGGCACAGTGGCTCACACCTGTAATCCCAGCACTTTGGGAGGCTGAGGTTTGCTTGAGCCCAGGAGTTCGAGACCAGCCTGGGTAATACAGTAAGACCTTGTCTCTACAAAAAATACAAAAATTAGCCAGGCATGGTTGCACACACCTGCAGTCCCAACTACTGTGGAGGCTGAGGTAGGAGGATTGCTTGAGCCCAAGAGGCAGAGGTTGCAGTGAGCTGACCACACCAGCCTGGGTGACACAGTGAAACCCTGTCTCAAAAACAAAAACAAAACCAAAAACTTACAAATTGATAAATTAAAAATAAAAAGAAGGGCAAAGTAACTGTCTTCCCTCCCATCACCCCTCACCAGAAGTAGGGGTCGGAGAAACAGGATGAGCAGCCTTCTCCATCCGACTTCTATTAAAACCTAGGGCCTCGGCTGGCTGAGCATGGTAACTCACACCTGTAATCCCAACACTTTGGGAAACTGAGGCAGGAGGCTCACTTGAGCCCAGAAGTTCGAGACAAGCCTGGGCAACATAATGAGACCTCATCTCTACAGAAAAATTATTTTTTAAGTTAGCCAGGAAGGGTGGCATGTGCCCATAGTCCCAGCTGCTCGGGAGGCTGAGGCCACAGAATGATTGGGCGCGGTTTGAGGCAGCAGTGAGCTATGATTGCGCCACTGCACTCCAGTCTGGATGACAGAGTGAAACTCCATCTCAAAAAAATAAAAATAAAAAAGGGTGAATATACAAAAACTGTATGCCCTTGTGATAAATACAGCAATGAGGATGAGCTGGAGTGTGGAGGGATGTGGTAGCCTGCATATGGATATTTGCAAGTGCTTTCTCCTGTTGATGCCAGATTTATGCAAACATAGGTGCTGCTAGATATAAGGGCAGACATGACATTGCTCATGTGTTTGTGTATATGAGTGACAGACCTTGCTGCTTCCCCTACCTGTCCCTTTTTTTCTCAGAGCCTCTTCCCTTTTAAGTGGCAAGAGGAATGGAATCCACGGTTAGGGAAGCAGATGGGTCAGGGAAGGGGCAGTGATGGAGGCAGGAATTAAACTAGCACAGAAGGCAAAGCGGAGACACTAAAGTTTGTCTCCGACACGCACAGGACAGGATTCCCTGTGGTGACTCCTGAAGCTGAAGTGATCTAATGGTGTCCTGCTGGTCACAGATGCAGAAGCCATTAACACACACACAGACACACACACACATTCCTGCAGACACAAGAGCTCCCAGTTATTCAACCTGTCAGACAAGGCACTCTGTCCACAGGTGGTAGATATGGTCTGACTTCAGAACCTAGGGAAGTGTGCAACAGACTCTCCCAGAAGGCTTGTTAAAATTGCAAGTTTTTTCTAGAAAAAACATAGGAGGCCAGGCGTCGTGGCTCACACCTATAATCCCAGCACTTTGGGAGGCAAGGCGGGCAGATCATTTGAGGTCAGGAGTTTGAGACCAGTCTGGCTAACATGGCAAAACCCCATCTCTACTAAAAATACAAACAACAACAACAACAACAGAAAACTTAGGAGA